CTGAGCCCAGAGTGGTTACTTGAAGACAGTAACAAAAATAAACCGAAGGCAGCCAGTCTGCACTCACACATCTTGGCGGATGCCACCAAGATGGGGTGTGCAAGAACAAAGTCATGGTTCAAAGAGGCTACCAGGCTGTTGGAGCCCAGCCTGAAGTTTATTACTACGGTTAATATTGCATGCAAATAGATTTCCCCACTTTGGTCATATCAGTCCATTAATTCGGGCCCTGTCTGCTACATCTTTATTCTCAGCAGGTTAATCCTGCCAAATGCCTTTTCTGGAGTTCACATCATGCTGTGCTTGTATGTAACAAAGCAATTGTGCTAATCCTGTCCTATCAGCTTTGTGGCTCTGGCTGGTCAAGGGGATGGTGGAGGAAGGGCATGTGAGACTTTTGTCAGGATCTTTCTCCTGCTCCGGTGCCTGCCCTGCCTTGTCTTTTTCTTTATTTCTTTTTAAATTAATACGTTTTTCACTAAATGGACCTAGAGTCAACCATAGTGTTGGACATCTGCCAAGGCCAATGTTTTGTGAAGAGGAATGCCAAAGCTCTTGGTGATCTCCAAGCTTTTTCTAGCAGCCCCGCACAGCCATCAGCTAAACGTGCCAATGAAGGCTTAAAATAGGATGCTTGGCCATCTTGGGCCTTTCTAGGCAGAATCATTAACATGGGCTGTAGAAAGATGGCTTCCGCCATCACCAGATGGGGGAGGGGCATGTCCAGGTCCCATAGAATTCGGTTCCTCTCATCCACAGCCCAGTGCTGTTAAGGTCTTGGATTTGAACCTGGACTTATCCCCAGAGGAGGGTCTGGGAGGTGTAACTCAGTTGGTAGAGTGCTTTCCCAGCACTCAGGAAGCCCTGGTGTGGTGGTGTGTACTTATAGTCCTGGTACCAGAGGCAGAGGTACTAGGGAATCAAGTTCAAGGCTATCCTCAGCCACACAGTTGAGTCTGAGGCCAGCTTGGGCTGCATGAGACCCTTGTTTGTTCATAAAGAAACAAACATCAAAGCAAATCCCAGGGAAGCTGCCTTCTGCCTCTGACTTTGAGCATGCTGTTTCCTCTCTGGCCTTCACGTGGCTTGTTTATAAACTGGTCACGGGCTGGAGGGATAGTTCAGCCGTTAAAGGCTAGGCTCACAACCAAAATAAACCGGTCACACCGTAGACCCCTGCATATGACATCTGCAAGGATTTAGTTGTTGAGACATGTTAGTCATGCAGAACACTGCTGGCATGCACTCAGCAAACATCAGGTGAAGGTTAGCTCACATTTTCATGGATCAGGAAACTATTTGTAGCTTCCTGTAGTACCTACACTGAGTACATGGTGAAACTCCACACAGGCATGTCTTTGAGGGTCTTCAAAGGGGAACTCTACTCTCTTTTCTGTTAGTTACAGAAACACAGCAATGCGGAGGCCTGTCTACCTTACTCCTCACTGTGATGTGGTCTTCTGCATTACCCTGGCAGACTTCACTGGTCCCAAGGAGGCACTGTAAGGGAAGTAAGCACCCGTGACTCTCTCCCAGCTCTGGGTCCTTTATCAGCTACTGTGACCCTGGGCAAATTAGTCAACCCAAGGCAAAGGGGTCTTGAGTTTCAGGTTATCCTGGGATACATAGCAAGACCCTGTCTCAAAATAAAAAAATAAATAAATAAATGAAGTAAGGAAAGGGTTAGCTGAGGTACCTGGCACTCTTCTACCAACACAGTGGTGCCTTCTAGTAATGGCTATTGGGACTTTGTGGCTATGGAATCCCCTTCAAGGTACCACAGCTTGTTTTCTAATCCTCATCCACCCGAGTTCAAGGCTGCATTGGAAACAGCCAGGCATGGTGACTCACGCCTTTAATCCCAGAAAGCAGCCTTTAATCCCAGGGAGTGGTGGTAGAAAGCAGAAAGGTTTATAAGGCGTGAGGACCAGAAACTTAAGCATTTGCCTGGTTAAGCATTTGGCTGGTTAAGCTTTCAGGCTTTGGAGCAACACAGTTCAGCTGAGATTCATTCTGGATAAGGACTCAGAGGCTTCCAGTCTGAGGAAACAGGACCAGCTGAGGAACTGGCAAGGTGAGATAGCTGTGGCTTGTTCTGTCTCTCTGATCTACCAGCATTGACCCCAATAACTGGCCTTGGGTTTGATTTTATTAATAAGAACTTTTAAGATTCCTGCTACACACCCGCCTTCTCGTCTCTCCACAGCATTCATGGAGATGCTGTTAGGTGGGTTGTGAGGAAATCCATCACATAGCACCCGGCTTCCAACTCAGGCTAAGGAGGTGAAGTGGGCCCATTGTCTCACTGTGGACAGGCGGCTTGTGTCTGAACATTCCATAGAGCCTGTCCATGTGACTCAAGCATGTGAGGGAATGCTTTTAATGTATGGCATTCATGGATAGATTTGAAACCTCCCCAAGTGTGACACAGCTGATTATGTTCGTGGCGTGAATGCTCAACATCTTTCTGGTGACCTTGAGTTAGAACATTGAACCTATCTGTACCAGGACAAGACTTTCTACCTTGCCCTGGAGACAGAATTACTTTGCTACAAGGAGGTGCTGTATGCTGCCCTCAGCGGCCAAGCCACTCTCCTCCCCACTTCCTCTCCCGGATCCTGATAGAGCGCCTCAGAAACAAAGTCCCATCACGAGTTGAACCCACATTATGTCCTTATCACCAGACTCCACATCACATTCCTTATCAAAGACCACTTATTTACCTATTGTGTGGGGTGCAGAGGGAGGTGTGCATGCCAGGTCGCTTGTGTGGAGCGCCAAGGACCACTTGTGACACTTGGCTCTCCCCTTCTACCACACGGGTTCCGGAGGAAGTGCACTGCTGCTGAGCCATCATGCTGGCCCCCCAGTTAATTTCCTCATTTAGTTTCAACTAGAGTGAGACACTACTGTTTTACCAGTTTCTCACCCAAGGAAACAGAGGCGTGGCGTGGTAATCAGCTTAGCCACAGCTGCAGATAGCAGATGCCACAGACCGAGGCTTGAGCCCTGATCTGCTGGCTCGAGGCCACTAAACTGCAACATGCATCTTTGGTGTGATGTCATGGCTGTGGTGACATATTGTGCACCCTAATAAAATTTGCCTGAAGATCAGAGAGACAAAGGAACAAGCCCTGCCATGTCTTACCTCTAGGACTCCTCAGCTTGAAAAGCTCTAGTTCCTGTCTCTTCACTCCTTATATACCTTTCTCGCCCAGCCATCACTTCCTTCCTAGTGCTGGGATTAATGGCGTGTGTGCTTCCCAAATACTGGGATTGAAAGTGTGAGATCTCAAGTGTTGGGATTAAAGGTATGTGACTCCCAAGTATTGGGATTAAACCTTCATGCCACCACTGCCTAGCTCTGTTTCTCTCCTAGACTGAGTCAATTTCATGTAATCTAGGGTGGCTTTGAACTCACAGAGATCCAGACGGATCTCTGCCTCTGGAGTGCTAGGATTAAAGGTGTGTGCCACCACTGCCTGACCTCTATGTTTAATCTAGTAGCTTGTTCTGTCTTCTGATCTTCAGGCAAATTTTATTAGGGTGCACAATATATCATCACATATGGCTGCTATGGGGCATGGGTGGGCTTCCCAAATTATCAATTTCATCTAGCATTTCCTTATTCCAAGTTGCAGCTATGTCTCCCGCAAAAATGCCAACCTCATGTTCCCCTTATTGTATATTTTTAAGACAGAGTCTTATGTATCTCAGGCTTGCCTCCAACTTATTATGTAGCTGAGGATGGTCTTGAACTTCTGATCCTTCTGCCTCCAGCTCCTAAGTGTTGGGATTATAAGTATCCATCATAACACTATGTTTATGCAGCACTTGTGCATACTAGACAAGGACTCTACCAACTGAGCTACATCTCCAGGCTCCTTTTATTGTTTTGATGAATATTGTACTTAGGTTGTTTTGGGGGGGCAGATAGGATGAGGGTATATATAAAAAAAGAGGGGAGGGGTAAAATTAGACAACCCCAGTACCTAACATACCATAATGATCAGAACAGGAACACACGAACACACACACACACACACACACACACACACACACACACACACACACACACACACAATCTTAGCCTAGTTTTCACTTGCCAATCTGTTGAGTAGAATCAGTCAGCAATACCATGCTAATTAAAACATGATGGAATCAGGCTATTTGCAAAATTAGCAGTTCTGACTGTCTGGCCTCAGTGGCTCAGGGGAGGCCCACTGAGGCCTGCTTCTGCATTGCCTTGTCATGAATCTGTGCTGAGAAGACAGTTTCTCCATCATGGCTGGAGCAAGCCTTGCCTACCTAGCAGACTGCAAACATCTCTGAACTTTGTTCACTGGATAAGAGACGACATTAACTTCCCATTAGCATCCCTGCACATTTCCTCCAGGAAGATCAATCACACTGCAGGCCAGACACATGGCCCTGGCTCATAATTCATCTTGGGAGGAGGCATAGCTGTTCTGTGATGGATCTAGGCATCTGGGTGCAGCTTTGGTTGGGGAAGCAGAGGGAAATTAGGTTTAGGAGCAGAATAATAAGTAGGGCTTTGGGAGAACACTGCTTTGTGTCATGTGGCCAATTTACTGTCAACAAATTTGCTTTATGCGTGCATGCTACTGTGAGCTTATGATGCCTTCTTTTCCACACTTCAAATTTGGTGTCTTATGTATGTGCATGTGTATGTGCGTGTGTACATGTGTGTGCGTGCATACATGTGTGTGTGTGTGTGTGTGTGTGTGTGTGTGTGTGTGTGTGTGTGTGTCCTCCTTTCTCTTTTTAGCCCAGTCAGTGTTGGCTGTGCTCCATGTCTTTGGTGTTCTAGGGGTCAAGTAAGAGAAAGTGTTTAGTGTTCTCTATTAAAATAATTCAAATATGGCAATTTTAAAATGTCCTGACTTCCTTTTACTTTGTTGTTGAAATTCTGCTTTTCTGACTCTGCCCCTGCCCCTGCCCTCTCTTCCAGCACTGTTCTCATCTCCATCCTGGGCTTCTTAAGGGCTGGATAACAAGAGGAAGTGAAAGCCCCACAGAAATCTGTCAGCACCGAGGAACTGTGGGGTGAAGGGTTCCCTGAGGAGCTGTGGGCTCCTTGTCTCCCTGAACCACGTTTGCTGCTGTTTTAAGGACCAAGAAACATGCAGGGGAAACGTGCTTTCTAGAAATTCAGTACCTGAACACCTCCATCTACAAACACAAGAAGCTGCTTCCCCTGGAGCTACCTCCCGCCACCCTGGAATCCCCGAGAGACACACTATATTGGGACCCGCTCCCTGGGTAAAGAGCTGCTGTCTGCATACATCCCTTCACCAGCCCAGGGAGACATCAACAAAGGGGGGACGGGCATGGACCACAGATAAAACTGTTCAGAGCTGAGACAATTCCTCGTAACCATGCTGACCACAAGGACCTACAGCTTCCCTTCCCTGCCTGTCCCATCAGAACTTCCAGGGGAGTCCCAGACCTTCTGGAAGGCTCCAAGCCCAGGGCACATGAGTGGTTGTCCTTTCCTGTGGGGGCTCTAGGCAATTCCATTTTCACAGCACCAAATGTTCCCTTTTCAGATAGAATATAGAAAGAAGAAGCTGGAAGGAGCAGTTTTTCTCATGGAAGACAAGACGTTTCAGTTGGGGTGGGGTTGGGGGTTGGAATCAGCATCAAGACCTGAGCTGCCTGCCTGGTGCATCTGTCTTCATCAGACCCACTTTCTCTCCTCCAAAGTCCTGCTTCCTTCCCACAGTTCAGCTGTGGAGCCCTGTGAGGCTTCTCTTGAAAGGTCTCGAGACTTTCGTCATGACGGGTTTGCAATCTGTCCAGTATTTCTCCTAGGAAATTCTCTTTGTAAAAGTGCAGCCATCAATATAGTCACAGAGGGAGACAAATCTTTAATGGATGGAACATTTACAGATCAGCAAGAAAAATCCTACTCTAGGACAGAATAAGTTACCAATAGACACAACCAGTGCTCAGGAACAGCTTCTGAGAATGAATGAGGGAGTCCCTGCCTCTCACACCCGAATCCCTGAGCTGGGACGACAGTGGAAACATAGACTCACGCCAGTGGTGTCAGCAATGCCACTGGATCACTTCAGATGTGCTGGCACACTGCCAGCCACTACTGAGGAAAATCATCAGCCAAAGCGAAGGTCAAGTCTCAAGTTCACATCTCCCTGCACGGCGCCACTGGCCTTGCAGACCTTGATTAGACGTCACTGGGATATTACTGTAGCAGCAGCAGCTGGGAACCACTGCAGCCCTGGGCTATCTACATCACCTCAACAGTGTGTTTAAGGGGCTGGGGAAATGGCTCAGTCAGGAAAGTGCTTCATGCAAGGCCCTCAGCTGTATTACAGATGTTGAGGGGAGGAAGACAAGAGGTTCCTGGGACTTTCTCAACAGCAACTCTAGCTCAACCAGTGAGTTCCAGGTTCAGGAAGAGACCCTGTTTCAAAAAATAAGATGGATGGCTCCTGAGGAATAACACCTGATAATGATCTCTGGTCTCCAACACACATGAACACACCACACACACACACACACACACACTTCTGAGTTCTGGGAACAGGAGGCAGCTTACTGCACACAGAGGCACTCTAGGCCTGAGTAGAGTCATGGGAGGAACAGGAAGGTGACAAGCACAAGTGAGATACCATTAAGGGAGCCACGTGGCTTCCCTGGTAATCCTATTGAAAATGAATCTTTGTATAAATATTGATATCATTAAATAAGGACTACTTAGACAACAATCCCAGAGACTTTGCTCAAAGTAAAGCCTTTTTGTCACAGAGGACATCAAAACACATCTCCATAGTCCAGAGAAGATGTATTACCTAGAAATGCTACATCCTGTGCTGGTCAGTGCTCCACCTGTGCCTCGGTTTCCCCATTGCTAAAATGGGACTGGCAACGCCTTTGAGTCTCAAAATCAAACACTATGTAACTGGTCTGAGGATACAGCTGTCACCAATTCAGACCCCATCAGCTGGCTCGTAAGTAATGCCTCTAGGCACGGGGTCCATTATTTCACAGGATCCATGACATTCTTGGAAATGCTTTTTTCCAATATCAAAGCTTGGGAAGACAGCTGGGTGTGCTGAGGGACACCTGTAAATCCCAATGCTCAGGAGGCAGCATCAGAAAGATGGCCTCAAGTTTGGGGGTGCACAGATTAAGGCTCTCAGAATAAAAGCAATGGGCAGTGTTAGACAACCAATGATGCCATCATTGGGAAGACTTTTTGGAGCCCATTAGCCACCACAACGACCTCATACCCAGTAGCTGGCAGCTGAGAGCTTGTCTCTCGCCTCTGCTTCTCTGTGACCCATCATCCCTTTTGAAATCAAAGAGCCCCTCTGTACTGGGTGGTTTTGTGGTCAACTTGACACAAGTTAGAGTCATCAGAGAAAGGAGCCTCAGCTGAGGAAATGTCTCTTTGAGATCCAGCTGGAAGGCATTTTCTCATTTAGAGATCAATGGGGGAGGGCCCAGGCCATGGTGGGTGGTGCCATCCCTGGGCTGCTGGGCCTGGGCTCTATAAGAAGGTGGGCTGAGCAAGCCACTGAGCAGTTCCCCTCTATGGTCTCTGTATTAGCTCCTGCTTCTGGGATCCTGCTGTTTTGAGTTCCTATCCTGACTTCCTTCAGTGATGAACAGCAATGCTGAAGTGTAAGCCTAATAAACCCTTTCCTCCCTAACTTGCTCTTTGGTCATAGTGTTTCGTCACAGTAATAGAAACCCTGACTAAGATACCCGCAATGGCAGACCCCTCACCTGGTGCCCAGCCACCCCACACTCTGCTTTGAGGTGGTTGCTCTCCTCAGTCACACATTACCAGGGACCTTTGTAAGAGACATCCTCCAAGCCTACTGTGGAGACAGGCTAAGGAAGTGGACATGTAGCATGCTTATGATAAATCCACTACACCACATAGATTCCCAGAACGTTTCATATACACTATGCCAAGAAAGTCTGGAAGTAGATCCTGGAGTCCTACTTCAGCTACTCAGATACCCCTGTGGCCTAGGGGGCAGATACCTTCTCCCCTTTTAGGGCTGAGGTAAGGCTCTCAGACCCTAATTGTCCTGTCTTTCCAGGGACCTCTGACATTGCTGCCGGTAGTAACAGTTCTCAGGAACTGAAATCCTGACAGATACTTGCTTCTATTCTAGTGTCTTGCCAGAGGTGAAATCCTGATTTCGAAGCTGAAGAATCCTTCTGACCCTAGAGGGACTGGAGAGGAAGGAGCCTGAAGCAGGGTTCAGCAGTTCTTTCACCAGACCCAGAAGCCTGAGGTAGGCCATCAGCATGCTGACTGAATCCAGGAGTCTGAGGCTCTTCCCTAGTGTTCTCTGGCCCAACCCAGCTGCTCTTCTGAATTAGTCTTCACGGGCTGGGACCTAAGAGACAATGTTCACTTCCACAGCACCTTCTTGCTCCAGACACCAGAGACTCAACCTAGAAAAATCAGCAGTAACCTAGTTCAGGGCTGCTGAGGAGGGACGGAGACACTCAGCCTGGCTTGAATATTCTAAAAAACACCACCAAGCTCCACTGCTCACATATACCTCCACTCCTAGCCCTGTAGTCATCCAGTGTGCTGGCTAGTTTTATGTCAAGCTAGAGTTATCTGAAAGGAGGGAACCTCAATAGAGAAAATGCATCCTAAGATCTACCTGTGAGGTATTTTCTTAATTAGTGATTGGTGGGGGAAGTCCCAGCCCATTGTGGGTGGTGCCTTTCCTGGGCTGGTGGTCCTGGGTTCTATAAGAAAGCAGGCTGAGCAAGTCAGTAAACAGCGCCCCCTCCACGGTCTCTGCATCAGCCCTGTTTGAGTTCCTGTCCTGACTTCCTTTATGATGAACAGCAATGTGTAAGTGTAAGCTGAATAAACTCTTTCCTACCCAATAGAAACCCTAAGGCCAGGCATGGTGGTGTACACTTTTAATCCCAGCACTCAAGAGGCAGAGGCAGGCAGATCTCTCTGAGTTCGAGGCCAGCCTGGTCTATAAAGTGAGTTCCAGGACAGTCAGGACTAAAACCCTGTCTCAAAAAAAAATCAAAACAAACAAACAAACCCTAACTAAGACATCTAGTGAGGAGGTATCATCAACCCTAGTTTGGGAGTGAGAAAATGAAGACATCCCCACCACCTGCATATGCTTCCTGTGATAGGAGGCCAGCCAGGATGCCTGCCTGGCTTTGAGATCCCAGACGGCGGCCTGCAGCAGCGTGCCCATCACAGGAGTGTGAGGGTAGACAGGCTCTGGCTCAGACACTCCTGCTGTAAGCCCCTCCCTGCATAACACTAAATGCACAATGCGGCCTCCGCAGTGGACTCAGCTCTGGGAAATCCTCTTAGACTTTAAGAATAATTATTGACCAGAGTGTGCAAGACTAAGAATTTTTAAAGTTCAGTATTGGTGTGCAAGTACAACAAGAGGCACATCTTTCTCAGCTGGTAGTTAGCTTATTTTTATTTTCAGTTTTTGGCAATGAGGATAAATAAATTCCTAAGTTATAGTTACAAACTTTGTGTGTGTGTGTGTGTGTGTGTGTGTGTGTGTGTGTGTGTGCCTGTGTATATGCCTATGGAGGCAAGAGGCCACCTTTGGGTGCCACTCCTCAGGAACTATCCTTGTGTTTTGAGAAAGAGTCTCTCATTAGTGCCTAGGGCTTGCTCGTTAAGATTGCGAGTCAGTCGGCCCTTTGCCTCCCCAGTGTTGGGATTATAGGCAGGTGTCACCATACCCAGTTTTCCCCTGTGGCTTCTGGGAATTAATCTTCGGTCTTTATGCTGTGGAGAAACATTTTAACAAACGAGCTATCTCCCCAGCTTCTCATCCAACTCCCCACTTTTTGACAAAATGTTGTTATCCTAGGCTGGTCTCACACTCACGGTCCCCCTGTCTTTGCCTGTCCTCTGCCTCTGTGTCCCTGTGCTGTGATGACAGGTACCTGCTGTCTGGTAGTTACAATCTTTCTGAAACATAAGCTTTGGAGAGAACATTGGGACTCTGGGTCAGCGATGCTTAAGCTTGCTTCTCAGCTCTGTATTTCCCCTGCTGCATGCATCTGTCTCCTCTTGGGTAGAATGGGGACAGTGTGTCCTTTGGAGGGCTGCTGGGAAGATCACTCCAGATGATGTGGGGGAAGAGGAACCATCAAAGGGCACCAAAGAGAACAGGGGAGTCCAGAGCGTCTTAGTTTATTCTTCTTACCTTTGGGACCTCTGTTCTGGTCACAAAAAGAGAATTTTCCACCTGGTCTATGATTTCCTGTGAGAATTCCTTTCTGATTCAATGTCTAGGAAGCTGGACTCGATACTACAGAATGTGTTATTCAAAAAACAAATCAGCAAAGAGCACGTAAGCATCGAAGTTAAGCCAGGAGCATGGACACTGCCACTGTGGTGAGCAGGACACCCAGGTAGCCTGTCAGGCTTTCTCCTGAGGATTAACAGACCCAGGCATTAACTGTCAGCTACGCCATGAGAAAATCAGTCAGCGATTCCCAGTGACAGTTCTTCTCCAAACAGTAAGAGAATAATCGAACACCAAGTCCTCCCAGTGAAGCTGAAGAGCAGGATCTGAGGAGTGAGTGCATCCCACCTGCCAGTCACTGGGAAGGAGGGGCAGAGGTCTGCTCCAGCTTCAGCTTTTATTGAGTTCCCAGGATTATCAGGGTCTGGACATTCTGAATGCAAAAACCACAAAGGCAGCGTGTGGTATGAGAGTGCAGCAGGTGGAGGCTTCCAGGTCTGGTTTGTGTCTGGATGGAGTCAAAAGTGTAACTATTGAGTCATAACTGCTAAGGTCCTGGCGCACCAGGGTCTGCTCTTCCCCTTCCACTGAGATTAGACCCATCACAGAGGCTTTACATGCACTGGTACCTCCTGCGGGGGCATGGCCTGCTGGAAATTGTGTTTTATGCTTTGGGTCTGATTACCCTGGAAGGTCACCCACCTTGGCATCTTGATTTTGTTTCTAGCCCATCTTTGGACTTTGCACTGCATGCCCTTCCCCCAGCCGTCAGTCCTGGCTGCCAGGGCTGAATTCAAGAGTGTGAGTGTCATTAATTGACATTCATCAAAACACTCTTCATTGTTCACAGACACTCCGGGCCGAGAGGTGGAACTCACTCGGTATTTCATGTTAATCTGCATTGAGGACTTGCCTGACAAAACACATTACTGTAAGAATTGCCAGCCTGAAAATGAAGCTATGTTTATGGCTCACCCCTATTTTTCTTTCCTAAAGGAAATGACACTTCCCCTCTCTATCCTTCCCAGCCTTCCGTGGCTCACCCTCCCCTATCATCCACACAGCCTCAACATTTAATTTTTCCTTCACAAGTAAAGCTTTTGTTGGTGGTGTCGGCAAAATTATAATAAACATCTTGGGCTTCTGCACTGGTGTCTGAGATTAAAAACACAAAACAATGAGCCTCGACATACTGCTTTTAATACGGTGTGATAAGTGGCATTTCCCAGGGGACCACATTGTGGCCATCTAACTGCAGCTCCCATGGGCTGTGTGCTGGGGCGGGGGTGCGGGATGTGTCTCGCAGAGGAGGCTACAAGCCATGCTGAATGGTGACAGTCAGGACTCAGTGTCCATGTGACATCTGCAACACAGTGTCAACTTGTGTTTCAAATTACTTTCACATGTAAAAACAAACAGGGTTCCTCTCTCACAGGGAAGATCTTTTATGTTCGTTTGGTCTGTCCTCTCTGGATGAGGACACTTCCCTAAGTGCCCGCCAGGCACAGCTCACTCTGTTGCTCCTGCTCCTTTCTTACCTCTCTTGCTTCTCTTGTCTCTCTGTCTGTCTGCCCGCCTCTCTCATGTCCCCACTCTGACATGGCTTTTCACTTCCCCCTCCCTCCTCCCCCTTCCCCAAAAAACCTCTTGTGCTAACTCTGTTGTGATGTGGCATGCCTTGGCACACACCTGTTTGCTCAGCGGCACACTTGGCAGGGTCCACCGAAGGTACCCACTTTGCTTTCCTTTTTTTAATCCTTTCAGGTGGGCCAACCATATGTCATGGGAAACCCTAGTTCTTGTGACAGGGAAAAGGTTACAGGGAATTATGAGCTTTGTGTGGGAAGGACTGGTGGGGTCTACTTCAGACTGTGCAAGCCTGTGCAGAAGCCAGTTTTGGAGGCCCCGGAACCTGGCTGGATATGGTGGTTCTATTGGCTCCTTCTGCCGGGTGAGTGCCTTAGATCAAGTTGTGGTGAAAGCATATCTGCTTTGGAGACCCTGGATATAAAATGGCTCACAGCTAAATTCATAATTCAAGCATCCCAGGTTGGTGCTAAAAGAATCCATTTCAATGACTTAAGATGTTTCTAATTAAACCTCGATGGGTACAGCTGTCCCCTCCTTTGGTACCAAATCCATGCTACCTAGGTGATTTTAAAAAGACATAATTAGTTTTTTTTATTGCTGTGACAAAATTTCTGACAAGAGCAATTTAAGGAAGGGAGGGCTTACTTGGCTTGTGATTTGATGGTTCATTCAGTGCCCTGGGGATGGCAGGGCAGCAGGATCCTTATGTGTCTGGTCACAGTGAGCTTTCTCTTTTTTCCCTTTTTATTTATCGGGGACCCCTGAAGGACAGCACTCCTCACCTCCAGGTGGTCCTTCCCTCCTCAGTCAATCTCTCTGGAAACATCCCAACAGACAGACACTCAGTGCAGATCTCAGGCAACTCTAAACCAGCCAAATTGACAACGAAGAGTGGCCATCAGGATGTGAAGAAGTAACAACTTTGCTGTTAGAAGCAATAACTGCAGTCCTTTACCTTCTGAATTTGAGGAATAAATAACAGAGGAGAGTCTTGCATGGCTTGGAATTGGGGCAGATGGATGAGAGCAGTGAAGACTGACTAACACTGACCAGCCACACAATGTCTAGACAGCAGGAACATCTATTCTAATCTAAGCACTGTTGTCTCAGTTAGGTTTCTGTTGCTGGATAAAATACAATGACCAAAAGCACCTTGGGGAGGGTTTATCTCAGGTCTCACTCTACCCCGAGGAAAGTTAGGGCATGAACTCAAGGGAGGACCCTGGAGGCAGAAACTGAAGCAGAAGCCACAGAGGGACTCCACTTACTGCCTTGCCCCCAGGAGTGGCACCACCCCAGAGAGCTGGACCCTTGCATGTCAATCGTTAATCAAGACAATACCCCACACACTTGCAGACAGGCCAATCTTACAGAAGGCCATTTCCCCAATTATAATTCTCTCTTCCCGGGTATGTTTATATTTGTATCAAGCTGACCATAGTTCTGATGTAAGAATTAGGTTAAATAAATATGCTCTATGAACTTCTTGAACAGATTATTAAATGGATATATTCAGACCCCTGACCCAGGCTCAATCCAAGATGGCCACTCTGCCTTGCCTTTGAGAGCTAGCTATCAGAAAGCTTGATGCCTCCACAGGCTGTCTGCAAAGAACTCCTGGACCATGTTGACTGCTGTCTGCAAACTAACCTCAAATCCAGTCAAGGGAAAAGAGGGAGCAGACAGGAGGCCTGAACAGAGATGTGCCGGCTCAAACCCCACAGGCAGACTATCAAGCGGAGACCAGACCCGAGCCTGCAGAAGATCCTGCTGCTGCTTGTGGACTTTCATGCCAGCGCATGATTCTTATTATAGCATTTATGCCCATCTCTTGTATTTCTGCACTAGGCACATCATATCTCTCCACAGGAACAGAGGATCCACAGGGATGGGGGTTTCTTTGACTTGCTCAGCTCTGGAGCTCGAATACTAAGCTCAGCGTCTAGCATGTAGCAGATGCTGAATCAGCTTGCTGAATGGATGAAGGAGTGAATGATAACGGGAAGGTGCATCACTGTTCCTCAGAGCTGCCCTCTGTACTTTTGGTATTTGCACAGAAGTAAGGGAGGCAAAGAGAATTCATGGAAGCTGATACAGAGCAGGTAAGAATCTACTCTATGTCAAAGGTAAAAAGTCTATTATTGTTGTTGTTTATCTTTGTTGCACTGTGAACTGGGCGTCACAGCCTGTTGACTGTGCTGTTTCCAGCCTGTTCTTTTAAGACTGGTAGTTACTGCAGAAACATGGTTGGGTAGGGGAACAGCAGGAGAAAAGAATGAAATTGGATGCCAAGCAAAGCATGCTTGAACCGAGAGGACAGAAGGGTCTCTTAATGCTGTCTGGAACTCACCACATACATGTGCTGGTGTCTGTGGGTGAGAATGACCCAGGGTCAGTGACAATTCATGGCTTAGAAGGCTCAGATATTAAAAATTCCCGTTCTAAGGGCAAGGGGGTTCTTTAAGCACTTCTTTCAAATCCAACTATGTGTAAACATAAATTTGTGTGTGTGCACACACACAGCATCCACAAAACCCTTTCCTAACCTATCGCTGAAAATCAAGGTGTATAGTGGAACCAGGTGTATTCAATTGAAGACTGGCAGGTTATATATTTATTTCCCTGGCTTGAATGTAAATCTCCATCCCCCTCCTCCAGTGTTTCACCCATGCTAGGTAAGCTCTCTTCCACTGAGCTGGAACACAGCACCCATGGACTTCTCTTTCAACTGTTATTTACTAATTTTTTGGCCTTACTTTACTCGAAATTCTTAGCTCTTCAACTGACCAGCCAACCTTTCTGTAAATGGTTAAGATTCTTATGAAAACTAAACTTATGGACAGAAGGTCGGATTCATTTGCAAACGGAAGCGACTGCTTCTTTTCCAAGCTCTACAGCTCCACATGGGAGTGAAAAAAAAACAAAACAAAACTGGCTTCATGCTCAGCCAACTGACTGCTTTTCTATGTTGGAGCAAGTCCCTGCATGCTTGTCAGGGGATGTCTGCTGCAGGCTGAGTGGTAACACATGAGAGCTGAGACCAGAGCCTGAGCACAGGGTCCTAGGCTAGCAGGATGGTTGGGCACTCAGAACTGAGAGCCATGCCTAGCTTAGATATACGTTAGTGACAGGACTCATCTTTGCTACCCGTTTTGAATGTGATGATCACATAAAGGGCTTAGATAGGAACACGGCACAACATGATTAAAAATGTGCCTTCTGCAGCTGGAGAGAAGTTGAAAAACCAGCCTGTCTCCATCTTAGATAAAGCCATCTTATAATAAAGACCAACTAGGTTCATTCATATTTATGATTAAGTCTGTTTCTCAAGGATTGGGCTCTGCCCCACCTGTCACCTTAACTACAAATGGCTCTGTACTGCCTGGTCCAGGAATGTAACCATGTCTTTGTTTTAAAGTTGTTAAGACCACCTTGCAACCATGTCATTGTTTCAGGGGTTGTTATGACCAATTTATTATGCATATGTTCTGCTTTTATAACCTTACCTATTTGCCTGCCAAATCTCCCATTTAGAAATTCCCTACTTATCTATAGCCATTCCACCCTGAACGTGCCCGATCTTGTCTGAAGGGCCCCCTACTCCTAAACTAAAAACCCTTATCTTTCCCATGTCCAATGTTGATCTCTTGAACCCCACCTTTAAGGAGAGAGAGCCTATGCACATGAATAATAAAGCTTGCTTTAATTAATTTGGCCATGGTGATTTGGGTCAGTGGTATTTCTCCTTGCATCCATGGGACTAACAATGGCTCAGAGGTTAAGAGCAACTCTGCTCTTCCAGAGGATACAGCTTCAGTTCCCAGAACCACATGAACCAGGCTCACAACTTCTGGTAGCTCCACTTCCAGGGGATATGAAGCGCTCTTCTGGCCTCCTTGGGCACTTGGCACACACAAAGTGCACATATATACATGCAGGTATACACACACACACACACACACACACACACACACACACACACACACACACACTTAAAAATAAATAAATCTTTAAAAAATGTAAAAAAAGAAAAGTGTGTCTTCTATTTAACCATGGGGAAAGAGCAGAAGAATCCAATTAGAGGCACATTCTCAGTTCTTACAACAAAAATGCCAATGTAGGGGTAGGAGCTTGGGGCTCAGCAGCAGAGCCTGGGCCATCAAGCTGGAGGCCTAGGATTCCCTCCTCAGCACCAGAAGAGAGGTGTGAAGGAGGAAAAAGGCTTCAGGTCACACCCAGTCAGAGACCTTCTGGGCAAATGCAGTCTGTGCTACTGCCTGGGTTCAGAGAAAAGGAGATGGCCAGGTGATGGTGGTGCACACCTTTAGTCCCAGTACTTACTTGGGAGGCAGAGGCAGGTGGATCTGCATGAGTACAGGGCCAGCCTGGTCTACAGAGTGAGTTCCAGGACAGCCAGGGCTACACAGAGAAACCTTGTCTCGAAAAATCAAAAGAGGGATGGAGAAACGGAGGAACAGAGGAAGGGAGAGAGAGAGATATTTCTGTAAAGCACATCATTGGGGTAAGGAGGAGAATCAGAAGGTAGACCATGACACTGTACCAGCTCAGCCAACACAATACAGCCAACAGCTGAGCTGAGACTACCCTACCTCATTATCACACTTTCCTAACTGTGCGTACTTTGTGTTCTCAGTAAACAGATGCTGAAATCCTAAAAGATGTATGAACTCCCGAAGAGTTTACAATTTTTTGAGATGTATTTATTTTTATTTTATATTTATTTGTCTTTGTGATGGCACTGGATCCCCTGGAATTGGAGTTACAGATGGATGCAAGACACCATGTGGATGCTGGAAACTGAACCTGGGTAATCTGGGAGAGCAGCCAGTACTCTTGACCACTGAGCAGTCTTTCCTACACTCTTGTTTTCCTTCAGTTCTGAAACATGCCAGCCATAACCACATGCTTCTCTCCAAGGAAGCAAAAGCCACATGGGAAATAACCAACATTACTACAATACCTATTTGTGTATTGTGGTATTTCTGTAAATGCCAGTATCATGTGACCCCAGTGATTGCTCTCTGTGTCACATAAAAACTTAAACTGTTTCCTAACTTTTGGGGTATTGTTAGAAAAACTGCTTGGGAAGAGAAATGACATTTTTATTTTATATGACATTAAGTAAAACAGATGATTTCTGCTTTTCTTCCCATAATATAACAGGGCTGGAATCATATAATGCCTTTGGTTTTTTAATTATGTCAGAAAAACAAATTCCAGAGTTATTAGTATCTTCTATTTGGGCTTCTGAGGGCCAGTGTGGCATCTGCCCTAGAAGCCAGACCATGTCTTACGCATGTTCAACCACTGAGGAGAATTCACTTTTAGCAAGGAATACACACACACACACACACACACACACACACACACACACTCCTGGACACTAAAATATACTTTCTTCCATTCAAGTTGCAGATAATCAAAAGGATACAAGCAAGAATATTTTGCTTGGCATGTGGCCTAAAAGTTCTAAATTTATGTATTCTATTTTTGCTTCTTTCTTAGACTGGATTAGTTACTAGGCAACTGAAGTATTTAATTTCATTTGCTAATAGTTCCATGTGCACAGTGGCAGCTAAGCATGTGGGACTGTGGACGCCAGTACAAACACAGCCCCCCACCCAGCCTCTGCTCAGTCCTCACTGTACCCCAACACAACCCATCCTTCCGGTCTGGGTCTGACTTGTGCTTATGAGGAACTCACATTTCTTGTGGAAATGTTTATGGTGCAGATGCTCTCGGGGTCTGTCACCCTCACTCTGAGATCCTTGTGTGCAACATTCACAACCCTTTTTCAGACTTCTGGTTCAAGATGGCAGACCATGCACATATGTTTTCTTCCCTTCCTAGAGAAAGGAAATAAAATCTTTAGTAATATACTACGCAGAAAAACAAACAGGCCGTTGTGAAAAGAGCGATCTGAGAGCAAAAAGAATCCTCGGGAATCAAGAACATGTAAAAATGTGCTCAGGGTTTGTCTTGAGGGGAGGGCAAGCTACAAATTCTGAATAAAATTGCATTGTACTATTGGTGGCAAGGATTAAATATCCTGCTTTAAGTAACAAAAGTATATCAGTAGAATATAGAAATTCTAAATCACCTTCTCCTACCAAACACACACACACACACACACACACACACACACACACACACACACACTCACTCACGAATGCTACTTAAGCAAACCAACCCCGTTGAATACAGTGAAACAGAAAAGGTGGGTAAGGAGATGATCATTGAAAAGCATGTTAAGTTAAGCAGGAAACAAAAATAAATGACAGGGACAAGCCTAAATACCAATGGCACAATACAGAGGACTTACAGTTCTCCTATTGAAAGACAGACTTTCAGATGGAAATGTATACAACCACCTATATGCTACACTGAAAGGGACTTAAAATGCTATGGCATGGAATAATTGGAAATAAACATAGTGTGTTATCAATAAGAAAGGAAGGAAGAAGGAAGGAAGGAAGGAAGGAAGGAAGGAAGGAAGGAAGGAAGGAAAAAAGCATTGATATAATTAGACCAAAGCAGAATCCTGGGACAAAAGTGAACATTGTTATGTGGGTTTGATTGAAACTCGAGGGGGCACCTGGGAAACCTGAGTTCAGAGGAGGGACTTTCCAGGCTTCTCGCTCAGAAACCCATGATTCAAGCACAGGAAACAGAGGTGGCTTGAACATACAGGCACTGAACTGGGTGGTTTTCAGATTCCAACTCAACTCTCAAATAATAGCACAACACATTGGTGGTTAAATCTCCACAGAACACCTTGAAAATCTCACCAGTACTAGGTCACAAGTAATATCTCAATAAAACTTACTTGAAAAGAGAATTATTCCAGGCCTCCTGGAGCTCTAACTCAAGAGTAATTTATGGAAGGAAATCAAAGGTGAAATTAGAGACAGTACTGTGATGAATGGCTACGGAGCACTCAGCTCAAAGTCTGCAGGAGGCATCAAAGAGACTCCAACTTTAAATGCACCCAGCAAGGAGAGAAGCCTGAATATCACTGTTAGCTCAAGAAAAAAATTTTAAAAGTTGAAGGGATTCAATAAAGAAAAAGATGATGAAAGAGAAACAAGTTGGTTTGATCGTTGGATCTTAAAGATGTCACAATGAGTAAAAAGGCAAGTCTAAAACAAACAAACAAACAAAACCAAACAAACAGAAAACTAAAACTTAAAAAAGGTTGAACAATGCAAAATTAAGAATAGGGCATTGCAGACATGGATTGATTTCAAAATTATAAGATGCATGTATGTGAAAGTACTAATAGTACATTTGAAAATATAAATGAGGAACGGAAGTAAGTGGTATTCTAAGAACATACACATTACTCTAATGAACCAGCAAGGGGCAGAGAGAACTAGGAAGCAAAGCTGGAGGCGGAGGGTCCCACATGCAGATGGTTTGGGGACTTGGCGTTTTCTTTGTCCTTTGGCAGTCTCTAAAGTACACTTTTGCTTCTGTGCTCTCCTGAAGAGACATGAGGTTATCAAAAGCTTTTCTGTTTGCTGCATGAAGCTGGAGGAACCTGGATACTCCAACAGCTTGAGAGATACATTTTTGAGGAAGTCGTCCTGTATCCACATTCCACTGAACTAAGAGGCAGAGAGTAGAGATAAACCTGACTCAGTCAGGACAGCTACCAGGCCTGGGTGTGCCCCCAAACACTGTGGCTGTTGTTTCCTCCCTGATTTCCAGGTCATCTCTGACAAAACAGTGATTGACCCTGGATTGAAAAGAATAGGTGACATCCAAAACAAGTCCAGAGACTGTCAGGTAACTAAAAATCACAGTGACCTGTGATATCAGCAGCATCTACCTAACTAAAAGTGAACAGTCCTTCTTGCTCACACACCTTGCCTAAGTGTTCCAAAACATGGCAAACACATTTGTAAAGCCATCTTCGATGACCGTGTGGTTTTAGAAAATCAATTGCTTTCTGCAGGCCAGGATGTAAATTCCTTCTTGCACCTGGGAAATGATGTTGACAAATTACTTATTATGTTATTAATTTTCTTCTTAATCTCTGTGCTCCTGCTAGATCACTTCTCAAATGTGCTCATCTCAGGGTGGCCTGTGTCCATCCATGAGCAAAGTGGACAAGATAGTAACACCTTCATTGTGGACATTTTAAGTTTACATTAGAGCATACCTCATGGTGCTCTTCTGGGAGCCTTCACCCACAAACCCTTTGGAAGCAGGTAATAACCCCGGGAGGCAGGCAGAACTGAAGTGATATCAAGAATTAAATGACTGACGCTAACATTTCCCAGTCAGTGGGTGAGTCAGAAACCAAACGAGATGCTCCCGCTTTCTATCATAGCATGCTTCTTTTTCTGGAAAGCATGGTGGGGAAGATAAGTATCTTCCTTATTACTCTCTACAAGATAGGAGTGGTCAGTGGCAGCACAGCTGTCCTGCTTTATGCTTTCCAACACTGGTTTCAACTTTATACCTGTTCTGCTCAAACATGAAAAGTTTAAAAATTGGTAGATATTTATTAATGATTCACTGTAGTTAATGACTTAACATTTTCACTGTGGAAGGGCCTAACTTAATTTCTAAAACAACACTTAGTGGAAGAAGCAACCTAGAATAAGGGGGTTCTTAACTTAAAATATATATATATATATATATATATATATATATATATATATATATATACACACACACATACATACACACACACACACACACACACACACACACACACACATATATATATATATTTATATATCCACACCCAGAGAAATGTTAGGGTAAGTAATTCAATTCAGTAATTCACACATATATGAGACTGGGCATACACACATGTATGTATGAATGTATGTATGTTTGCATGTATGTAGAGTGGCATATGCCTATAATTCCAGCATACAGGAGGCTGAGGCAAGAGGGTCACAAGTCTGAGGGCATTATTTAGTAAGACTTTATCTTGAAAGAATATGTGTGTGCATGCATTCATGTGTGTGTGTGTGTGTGTGTGTGTGTGTGTGTGTGTTCGTGCCTGCCCATGGAGGCCAGAGGCACTGGATTCATGGGAGCTGGAGTTATAGGTAGGTGGTTGTGGGCTGCTCAGTGTAGATCCTGGGAAATGAGCTCCAGCCTACAGAAGCAGTCTTGGCTGCTGAACCATCTCCAGCCCTCAGAATGTGTTCTGGCTTTTAGAAAAAATCTGCTCAGCACAACAAAGCAACTCCAGTGGGCCTGGGACGTCTTTGCTGCCGTTGTAAAAGAGGCAGACTTACTGAGTGGGACCAAGAGTGTATGCTCACCTACTGCCTAACTTTAAACTTTCTTGGGGAGAAATGTGACCAGAAGCTGCCGGACCACCTTTGGAGAGAGAACATGGCTGACAGAAGTCACATGACACAAATACAATCAAATAAAACCACTAGGGACAATATTGAAAACAGTGAGGAGGGCATCCTGCTCAGCAAGAGGGAACTGGGATGCAGCAGGAAGGCTGCGTGGGTGAGAGGCTGAGGAACGGGCTGGCTCAGAGGGAAGGAGGCTTCTTTTAGCAACCATTGAGAGAACATGGTTTGTGATGAATCATACATCCAGCCTCAACTCGTGTGTTAGAAACATACATTCCTTAGTGCTTCTTAAGCCAATATTCACTATAGGAAAAGAAGCCTGGATCAGGCCTGGACTAAAAGTTCCAAACGTTTAAGACGTTTGCTTTGAGAGCAGTGGCTCCCAAACACAGTTGCATGGTGGATGCTCAGGAGCTACTTGACCAAGTTGTGTAACCATGTCCTTTCTCCAGCTCTGTCTCCTCAGTTTAGGGCAAGTCTTGAAGGGTGCTTCTTTTCTCTTCCCTTTTTCTTCTACTTCACCTTTTCTTTTCCTTTTTGTCAGATAGGGTCTCATGTAGCTAGCCTTCAACTCACTATGCAGTCCAGGCTGGCCTTGAACTCCTGATCCTGATCTCTCCCAGGTGCTGGGATTAGAGGTGTGTGCCTCTTTATTCAAAGGGTGCTGGGAATCTAACCCAGGGTTAATCTACCTCATGCATGGTAGGCAAGCACACTACCCACTGAACTACATTTGTTGACCTTAAACTCAGATTCAAGCAATTCTCCTGCTTCAGTTTCCCCAGGAGCTGGGACCACAGTTACCACCACACCCAGCTAGAGAAAGCTCCTAAAAGAGGGGTTCACCCAGGTACTTAAATCCACTGAGGCATAGAGGAGCATCCTGAGCCCTAGATAACTGCAGACTGGGAGCCTTTTCCACACCCCTCTCCATCCTGTGCCTGGTTGCAGTTACCAAAAAAACCTGAAGGGATGGCAGAGAGTGGAAGAACATAAGGACTGCCACCCAAGGAGGGATGTCCATCTTTCCAGGCAAAACCAGCTGTGAAGTACCTTGGGAAACCTTCACTTTGGCCTTTACCTAAGGATGTCGAAACAAGGTAGGAATGAGGCTTGGTGTTCTCTGCCTTATGTAGGGCCCAGCCTCGGGGGTGTGTGTGTGGGGGGGAAGTGCTAAAAGTGGCCTCCTAATGGTCTTTCTTAAAATTTTCAGACATTTTCATTTTAAGCCAGTGGAAGGGCTAAGCCATTTATCTCTGCCTCGATCTGTACTGGAAAAAATCAACCTTGGAGTTCACCTGACAAGTCCCATTTTCCCACACCAGCCTGAAGGACTGTTTCTTCTCCTGACATAGATACATATTCTCTCTCTCTCTCTCTCTCTCTCTCTCTCTCTCTCTCTCTCTCTCTCTCTGTATCTCTCTGTCTCTCTCTCTGTCTCTCTCTCTCTCTGTCTCTGTCTCTCTCTGTCTCTGTCTGTCTCTCTACCTCTCCCCTTCTCTCTCTTTTGCCAG